TACAAATCGCTAAACATTTTTCAACTTCAGTAGTGATCAAAGAAATGCAAATTAACATCAAAATACCATTTTTTTTTAATAGAGTCTTGCTGTCACCCAGGCTGGAGTGCAGTGGCGTGACCTCAGCTCACCGCAACATCTACCTCCCAGGTTCAATCAATTCTCCTGTCTCAGTCTCCCGAGTAGCTGGGATTACAGACACATGCCACCACACCTGGCCAATTTTTTTTTTTTCTCCCCATAGAGATGGGGTTTCACCATGTTGACCAGGCTGGTCTCAAACTCCTGACCTCAGGTAATCCATCTGCCTCAGCCTCCCAAAGTGCTGGGATTACAGGCGTGAGACACCACATCGACAAGATATCACTCTTCTATCAAATCAGCAAGCTTTTTAAAAAAATTAATATTCCATAGCAAGAATACAATGCGTGAACACTCAAGCTCCTGGGTGAAATAAACTTATTTTTGTTTTTATTTGGATTTTTTTGAGACAGAGTCTTGCTCTGTCACCCAGGCTGGAGTGCAGAGGCTCAATCACAGTTCACTACAGCCTCTGCCTCCTGGGCTCAAGCAATCGTCCCACATCAGCCTCTGGAGCAGCTGGGACTACAGGCACGTGCTGCTATGCCCAGCTAACTTTTGTTATTTCTAGTAGAGATGGGGTTTCACCATGTTCACCAGGCTGGTCTCGAATTCCTGGCCTCAAGTGAACCACCTGTCTCAGCCTCCCAGAGTGCTGGGATTATAGGCGTGAGCCATCGCACTCAACTTAATTATTTTTTAAAAGCAGTATGGCAGTATGTGGTCAAGAGCCTTAAGTGTTCATACCCTTAACTCATAACAGCAAAAACTTAAAAGAGCCCAAAGGACCAACATTAGGGAAGTTATTTTTATGATTAGCTAAATTATTCAAAATCCGTATGTTCTAGGGAGAATATTTAGTGCTCTAGTTAAACGCTCAAAACGCAATGCTAAGAAGGAAAGGATGACATACACAATATCCAGACAAATTTTGTTATATATCATGGAAGACAACATATTCAAATGTTAACAAAAGCAGAATTATGGGTGATTTTAATTTTCTACTTCACATTTTTCTATTTTCAAAAATTTCTACAAATAATTTGTCACTTAAAAATATTTTTTTAATTTTTAAGCAAGAGTTAACTGATCAAGTATAATAAGTATAATTATCTCTACCAGAGAAAAACTATAAGTTAAGATGATAGCTTGTCATGATGCAGCTCACTGCATTAAATATGTATGGTGAGTAATGAGTGCTGAGATCCTGTCTTGAAGTGGGGCTGAGCTGGTCTAGCCTGGCTGCATGGATTGAGAATTCAAGTAAACTTAGACAGCTGTCCTCAGTACCCTCAACGACATTCTCCAAAAGAAATCAGATTTTCAAAGGCAAACCAACCAAGACAACTCACTCTTACCTACCATGGGGTGTATTATTTTTGGAACCTCAGTGTGAATAGGCATTTAACCACAAAGGAGATCATTAAAGACAAGATAAAGGTACCCTGTATGGAGGTCCACTCTGCTAAATATTTATGAAAAACAGTTACTGGAAAAACTTTTCCCCACTGACCATGTATACCCATGCATGTATGTTAGTATGTTCAGAAAATTAACTTTTTCAAACTGAATGAGGGCTAATGTCCATTATTTACATTAAAATCAAAATCCCTCCAACTACAGACTTTATAGAGCTAGTCTCAAAACTGATTTTACAGAGAAACTGCCCCCCCATTAAAAGTAATGCTCTAATCATAAAATTGCAGAGAACGATCAAAGCACAAAAAGATAATGCATAAAGAAACCACTTGATAATGGCTGGGCGCAGTGGCTCACGCCTGTAATCACAGCACTTTGGAAGGCCAAGGCAAGCGGATCATGAGGTCAGGAGATCAAGACCATCCTGGCCAACATGGTGAAACCCCATCTCTACTAAAAATACACAAAAATTAGCTGGGCATGGTGGCACATGCCTGTAGTTCCAGCTACTAGGGAGGCTGAGGCAGGAGAATCATTTGAACCTGGGAGGCGGAGGTTGCAGCGAGCAGAGATCGCACCACTGCACTCCAGCCCGGCGACAGAGCAAGACTCAGTCTCAAAAAAAAGAAAGAAATCACTTGATAAAAGTCTTGATATTCAAGATAACCATCACATAGTACTTTTACATGAATTCACCATAAAATATTACAAATTTACTATAAAATGCCCTTTACTCATCTCTAAGTCTCCCAAATGAAAATACTGCCAGCATTATTTTGATATGATACCTCCAAACAGATCCTTAAAACATCAATATACTTCCAAAACCTTTAAGGATAGATGATCTAGCGCCGACACTAAGCTGCTGTCAGTTAATTAACTGCTGACTTTAAAAATCATCATAAACATCTGTTGCCCAGATATCAAACTCAAAGTATGATCGTGCACTATACTGGTCTGTATTAATTACTTGCACTCTCTCAAAGAGAAAATGCATTAACAGTTACAATTCTTTGACATAACATTTAGGATTAAGGTATTAGGATATCCTAATAGGAATTATTTAAGATAACGCCTTCAACTTTTAAGCTGAGCCCAAACAAAAGCTTATAGAGTATTTTCTGAATTACTAAATGGGTTGCACCTTAATGAAAGAGGATGGCAATAATTGGTTTTTACTTTTCCACTTGGTTTCCATTCTGTGTAAACAGCTGAATTAACATTCCGACATCCAAGAGATTCTCTTAGGCCCATCCAGCTTAAGTTCACCTGAATGTCCATGTTGTTGAACTCAAGTCAGTTCATAATTTATCCTACCTTTACAATTTATGCAACTTTTTGACAACTGCTCTTACTATAAAGTTGAGTGTGCCTCCTCTCTTCCCCAAAGTCATAAGGTGACTCAGGAAACTGAAAGATACATCACTGTTACATTAAAAATTCACAATGTCACAATTTTTCAAGAGACAATAATATGGACAATTGAAATGAAATTCCTAATATTTGAATTATAGGTTGTTCCGTCTTTGCTGCTTTGCATAATTCCAGTACAGATCATTCATACCTGTCTTATGGGAATGGCACCTCCCAAAACTGCCAGCACACACACAGGCAGTCATATACAGTGGTCCTATACCTCAATCTACCATTTGATTCTCCAGGATTACCTTAGAAAACTATATTTCAAAAGCCACAAACTTACTAAATGGTGTGAATAAGAGAAACCAAACTATAGATTTAAATTAATTTACTTTGGTGTTCAGTTAGTACACAATTCAGAAGAGACAAGAAATAGACCACTGGTGTTTTAAGTTTTAAGCAGTAATCAAGATACTCAATTAGAAAGAAGATTAGGAAAATACGAACAAAGCACATCTAACCTATTTAAGCAAAACAGGGAAAGTGCCTATGAAGACATTTCTCAAGCCACCTTACAATGGGGTTCTGTCTTCAGAGAGAATTTTGTTTACCCACCTTCTTCCTTTCCTTAAAAAGGCAAAGTATTGGGGTAGTTACATAAGACCCTGTTTAGTAAGTTGGATTAAGTATTGTATTAAGAGATCCATCAAGGTCTTGATTAAGAGGTTAGAACAAGATATAGGAATGCACAATTTTACAGGTATTAATAAGGTTTTCTTGAAAATATTATTACATGTAAAACTAAAATACATACCTAAAACCTGCCTTAGAACAACCCCAAAGTCTGTTTCTCTCATGCATTTAACTGATGAGCTTCATTGAAATCCCCTTCCCGGTAGTTTTATTACAAGGAACGATAGCAAAGGAATTCAACAGAGATATTAAAACAGTAAAAAGCATTTCTAAAGATTGTTTGAGATTCATATTTATATTATATGAACGAGACTTATTATCAGAACTTCAACATCTATAAAGTGCTTTAAAACCAATCATTCTTGTTACTGAATTTATATAACTTTGGGAAGCTATAGATTTCATTAACCAATATGATTTTTCTTCAAATATTCTTTGTATATCAGCAATATGCTGTCTTCACATGTAGATACAGAAAGCTTTCAGAAAACCAGAGAGAAAAAACAAACATAGTCACTCGTAAAACTTTAGAAAATCAGAACTTGCCCCTCTTCAATGTGGCAATAAACAATACTGCCATGACCTATTCAACGTCATATAGTTTACAAAATGTTCCCGATTATATTGTAAGGATCTCTTGGATAATAAGAATTCACTACTTAAGAGCCATTCAGATACATCTTTCTTCCACTATGAAATCTCAAGACTGCCTTTGTATTATAGTACACAGTACCAGATGGAATAATATGGGGAAAGCAGATTTACCAAATATGTAATAAATTACAGACCCTTATACCAATGAGAGCTAGAACAAGCAGATTTCTAACAAACTTTTTTAAAGCTTGGGAAACTAATGGAAAATTTTTCAGAAAGACATTCTTTTCAATGTGAGTGACAACTTAAGATAGAAAGATTTGTAACAAGGATAATTAGCTTATCATGCACTGAATATGGGGTAAAACACATAAAACTACTGTTTTTGGAGGAAAAATTATTAGAAAACTTTAACAAAAGATAGAATGTGTTATTTCAAACACTATAAGCTCGAGTGCAGTGGCTATATAATAAAGCAAGGTGCCTATTCCTGAGGAGAATGTACTCAGTAATGATGCTGAACAGTGAGTATTAAATCTAAGCAGTGCTAAAAAGGCAATGATGGGAGTTCAGGTAATGTGTTACAGAGAGACTTGTGAGAAATTCCATTACTTAAAAATAATCTTGTCCCTATCATTAACCATTTAATTTTTTTTTTCCTGATGTGCTAAAGTGCACTGGAAACCTCAGAACAGGTTTTATAAATTGGCCATGTCTTGTAATAGACTGCAGTCTTCAAATTTACACAGAGCTGCAGGTCTCCTGGATTTTTTCAAGTGTCACTCATCTAACTGAGCCTGACAGCTGAGAATGCCATCAGGTACTTTACAGTCAGTTTAAAAAACATCCTCTACCTGGTATCTCTGCAGTGATTGTCTTGCTGCTCCCTGAAACCTCTTCATCATCATCCGATGAGCTCGTGCTTGAGTCACAAGTCAGGTCACTATCACTGGTACTACTGTCCTGCAGCAGGTTGTATTTCTTCCTTGCAGCAGCCTCCCGTTTCTGCCTCAGTAGCCTGATCCTCTCCTTGTGCTTTTGGCTCCGATGACCTTTAACCTTGGCGACTCGGCCATTCTGTTTATCACTGGATTGCCGGTTTTTCTTGGCAGCCATAGTGGATGTTTCACTTTCTGATCGGGACCGCCTAGACTTGCGCCCAACTGTGGCACCAGACACTCCTGAAGGGTCTCCTTCTACCGCTGTTTCTGCCTGAGAGGGTTCATTTTCTTCTGCGGAAGACAATGTATCTGAATCAGCCAGGTGACCACTAGAGGAAGGGGAAAGCATGCAGTGATTAGAGGAGTCACTCTCATAAACTCGGCCAGTTGTAGGCTTGTCACTCTCCGTGGATGCTAACTGAGACTCAGAAGAGTCCCTTCTCAGTTCCATCAACAAGCAGGGCATTGAAGAAATCACTGTAGAATCCGCTACACCATCTTTCTGAACTTGAGATTCCAGTTCTACAGATCCATCTTCCTCCTTGGCTGTCTCTTGTTCAGATGCTTTTGGTGGGGCTTCGGACTCAATGAGTTCTTCGACTTTTCCCACTGCCTCCTCCATCTTCATTTCAGAATTTCAAGTTAAATCATGGAGTAGAGTCTAGGAAATGATATCAAAGATGCAACAGGAAAGCAACCTGTACAAAAACACACAAAGTCAATAAACAGAATGCCAGATTATTTGGTCAACACAACATGCCTACCTTTATAAGTCGGTGGGGCAAAACTTACCATTACACAGGCCTTTAAAATATATACATATTATTATCTGCTTCTCTGATCAAAAGTCAAATTCAAAGGACTAATACCATCAAAATCTAAGCATACTGAGCTACTAAAAATGTCATAATATTAATCACTATTACTGAACTTGCAAGGCCAACATGTAACGAACATTTTCCAGTTTACAATTTTATTTAAAGTGTTCTAGAAAGAAATCTTCAAAACTCTGATATAATTAATATGCATGTATTGACTTTGATATAAATGAAAAAGAATGCTTTAACACTAGTCTAGAAATGCATTACCTGGAATGACTACTTTTACATTCAAATCCAAAAAGAAAGGAGGTAGGAGGAGGGGAGTTACAATAGAGAAACATCAAATTTTTTTTTTTTTGAGACAGGGTCTCACTCTGCCACTCAGGCTGGAGTGCAATGGTGCAATCTCAGCTGCAACCTCCGTTGCCGTGGCTCAAGCAATTCTCTTGCCTGAGCCTTCCAAATGGCTGGGACTACAGGAGCACACACCACCGCACCCGGCTAATTTTTGCATTTTTTGTAGAGACAGGATTTCACCATGTTGCCCAGGCTGGTCTCGAACTCCTGAGCTCAAGTGATCCACCCACTGTGGCCTCCCAAACTGCTGGGATTATAGGAGTAAGCCACCTCACCTGGCCCCTACACTTATGTTTAAAAAAAAAACAAAAACACATGCACAATCCAATTACATGCATTTGGCAAATGAGCAACCAAATACTATGCATCAAACTTGTCTGCAGTCCCCTTAATAGGAGTTGCTCTAGTGAAGCATTAAGATGAAAGGCCAGAATTTGATGCTTCCTCAATCCTACCTAGCTCCCACATACCTCATCATGCTGAATGTGAGGCTAGTGTTTAAACTGATGTTTTATCAACAATGGTCACTAAATACAGAATCCAGAAAGCCTAGTATATTCTATGAATGAATTAAGGATTTAAGAGAAAATACTCTACACCCATTTTACACTTTGGATGCTAAATTTAAATCCTAACACTCTACCACCACTGTGAGTGATACAACTCCAATAAACCATACAGGTACAGGACATAATATTTAACCTCAAAAGCTTATGACCTATACAGTTAAGTCCTTACTTAACATCGTCAATAGGTTCTTGGAAACTGAGACTTTAAGTGAAATGACGTTTAACAAAACCAATTTTTTCATTAACGTTATAACTAAAGGACATCATTCAAAGACCAGCAGTATCTTGTTCCATTTAAAGTTGTGGTTTCCAAGAACCTATTGAAAATCTGGTGGTTTTTAAAGAGGATGCTAAATATAGAAAGCAAGTAAATAACTTGCCCTGTAAGTGTTACATTACAGAAAGCAACTATCATGTCCATAGGTCACAGACACACACAACCATTAATCTATATGGAATGCTAGTTAGGTGCAATATGGCATCTCCAGCATCTCACTCCATCAAGTTAACTTGATAGTTCAATCTATAGTAGACAAAAACTAGGAAATACTTGAAAAATCCTTTAAAACAGATCTAACATGCCAAGTCCACTTTTTGCTTAATACAAACATTCTGTATACCTGTTTTGTTTTTCATAGCCCTGTTCTCAGCTGTTGATAAAACAGGCATTCTGATTAAGTTTCCTTAACACATTCATGGAAACCAGAACATTCATGGCCACTGAAACATTTGTTAATTTAAAACAATCCTAGGCCAGGAGTGGTGGCTCACACCTGTTATATCCCAGCACTTTGGGAGGCAGAGGCAGGTGGATCACCTGAGGTCGGGAGTTCAAGACCAGTCTGGCCAACATGGTGAAACCCCGTCTCTACTAAAAACACAAAAACTGGCCACGCACGGTGGTGAGCACCTGTAGTCCCAGTTACTCGGGAGGCTGAGGCAAAAGAACCGCTTGAACCTGGGAGGCGGAGGTTGCAGTGAGCCAAGATAACACCACTGCACTCCAGCCTGGGCGACAGAGCAAGACTCCATCTCAAAAACAAATAAAATAAATCAAAAATAAATAAAACAATATTGTGTGCAGCCTACTTCACATATTTGTATCAATTATAGTACTAATGTTGGAGCTAAGTGAAAATCAGCATAAATATTTTTTCTGACCCCATTACAAAAAAATGTAACACCTCTGAAAGCCAACAGAGGGAGTAACAGTTAAACCAATGGAGACCGTTATAAATAAAGCATGCTGTCAATACAAACATGAAATAAAATATTCATAGATACAAAATACCCCCAGGTATGAGGAATAAACCCAAGTTCTTTTCTTTAAGCCAAATTTAGCAGTGGAGGGGACCAAGATTTTCTAACTGAATAAAAATGAGAGTTAATTATATTATGGAGATTCAAGTTGTATATTCTGGAATAAAGATTCTTCTCAAGGTCGGGCACGGTGACTCACACTTGTATTCCCAGCACTTTGGGAGGCTGAGGCGGGTGGATCACAAGATCAGGAGCTCAAGACCAGCCTAGCCAAGATAGTGAAACCCCATCTCTACTAAAACTACAAAAATTAGCTGGGCGTGGTGGCAGGGACCTGTAATCTCAGCTACTTAGGAGGCTGAAGCAGGAGAATCGCTTGAACCCAGGAGGCAGAGCTTGCAGTGAGCCGAGGTCGCGCCACTGCACTCCAGCCTGGGCGACAAAGTGAGACTCTGTCTCAAAAAAAAAAAAAAATTCTTCTTAAGGTTAAAATATCTGAGAAAATATACTCAGAGGAAATTAATGTCAGCTATATAGGACAAGCATCAAAGTCTCAATTTGTGAAAGAAGGCAGCACTGGATATTTTCAAAGTACATAATACAGCATCAGACTGAAAAGTAAATTTGTTAAAATGACCATACAACTCTTGTTTCTTCAAGAAATAAGTTGTGTGGATAACACAAGCAAATCTAGATTGTTTTCCCTGTTAAAAAAAAAAATGACAATATGGCACATCATTCAATTTAATGACTATCTTTCAAGTTCCTTAAATTTGAGTGTTAACTGAGATTTAATTTCTACTACCTAAATTAGTAACTGGTATTGCAGATAAAACCACTTAAATATGCTCAAATCAATCACAAAAGACTAGTAGTGGCCATAAATAGGACACAAGTTAGCTCATCATGGTATGTTCATACAATGTGGCCATTAAAAAAGAAAAAGCATTTTATACAGAGAGATAAGAAACAGCTCTCATGCAATTTTAATGAAAAAAGATACATTATAGCATTTATGTAAATAAATAACAAAACTACATTTACATGAGTTTACCTGTAAATGCACAGACTTTGGAAAGACACTTAAGAAAATAGTAATACCAACTGGGAAGGAAAGCAGGTGAATAAGGGAACAGGAGAAGACAGTACGGTATGCAGTTTTGTATCTCTTGAATTTGTAACGTATACAAACATTATCTATTCAAAAATCCACTCTGACATGAAAGTCTTCTGAAGAAAAAGGAGACTTTTTCTTGGGTCAAGTTTAGTCAATAAATTCTACTATGCTTTCTCCCTATAGTGGAATTTTGCTATAATTAATTAAATACAGGAGAAAAAAGTCACAGAAAGTGAAAACATAAGCTCTGACTAAACTCCCTGCAGTGGAATAAAAACAAAGTGTGCTAACCACAGGGGGAAATGATATCATACATAAAGAGTAATATTTCCAAATGACCAGATTATTTACTGCATATATTGTTTTTGGTCAAGGGAAAAAAAATAGGTTTTTCTGGTAGGAACAGTCAAGTAGCTAGCAGTATAAAATGATATAATTGTCAAATAGGAATTGCATCACATAAATGGCATAAAAGGTTATCAACCCTCTGGGTTAACGTTGACAGTAAATTTACATTCAGTGAAGTAATAAATATACAACATTTTTCCTATTAGAACAGCACTTTCCCCCATGCTGTTCTTCCCTCCAATCTAAACGCAACCTCCTCTACATGAGTACTAGAGCTCATACCCCTCTCATTTCCCTAGAACCTTACATTATTGATTATTCCTTGGCTCTCGTCCACCTGTCACATCCAACTGGAACATTCATTCATTCATTTTTGAAATCCTCCTTCGACCTATCACCTTCAATCTCACATCTCCCTCTCTAGGTATCATGCTCTTCTTTCACAGTCGATCTTATTATGAGAGCTGTATAAACTTCTATTTCCTTAACTCTCACACTCCCTTCTGCAGCCCAATCCAACCTGACACCTCCTTCTATCAAACCAGTGGAACAAGCCTAGGCAACATGGCAAGACCCCATCTCTACAAAATATTTAAAAATTAGCTGGGCGCCAGGCGCGGTGGCTCAAACCTGTAATCCCAGCACTTTGGGAGGCCGAGACGGGCGGATCACGAGGTCAGGAGATCAAGACCATCCTGGCGAACACGGTGAAACCCCATCTCTACTAAAAAATACAGAAAACTAGCCGGGCGAGGTGGCGGGCGCCTGTAGTCCCAGCTACTCGGGAGGCTGAGGCAGGAGAATGGTGTGAACCCGGGAGGCGGAGCTTGCAGTGAGCTGAGATCCGGCCACTGCACCCCAGCCTGGGCGACAGAGCAAGACCCCGTCTAAAAAAAAAAAAAAAAAAAATTAGCTGGGCATGTGGCACATGCTGTGGTTCCAGCTACTGGGGAGACTGAGCAAGGAGGATGCCTTGAGCCCAGGGAGTCAGGGCTGCCATGAGCCGTGTTTGCACCAGTACGCTCCAGGCTGGGTGACAGAGCAAGACCCTGTCTCAAAAAATAAAAACAAAAAAAACAGTGGAAGAGTTATTACCAGGGTCATTAATGACCTCCCTATCTCTAAATCCAACATATTTTGGCCCTAATCTTACTTAATATTTAAGCAGCATTTTATGCCTGACTACTCTGTTCTTTAAACCAATTAATGCTTTTCTTTGGCTTCAA